AGTCAGCCTTGCAGAGCCCCCCTCATTTTCTCTCTGGCCGGCACAATCCCTGCAGCAGCACTCCTAACTCTTCCTCCCCTGGCTTGAGTCCTGACCCCTTGGTGTGTTCCCACTGGCATCCAGAGACATGCCGTAGGGAAACCACTCTACAGATTCCGATAATTTTGCACATCTGGTTTGCAAATGAGAAGATCTCTGGGGCATGGGCTGCACAGAGTGAACAATTTTGAAGAAGCTTTTAACAAAACTTGAACTTGCTTAACGACGAAAACGAAATCAGCTCCCCTTCTTGCTGTTCTGGGCTTCCAATCTCTTCACTCTAAGGGGAAAGTGACATTTGGAAAGTGTGCTGGGGCTGAGGAGGTGGCTTCATGGGTAAAGTGCTTGCTCCTTGAGCATGAAAGCCTAAGTCAGGATCCCCAGCACTCATGAAGGAAGCTAGGTGTGGCAGCACTTGGGAGCAGAGACAAAAGAATCCCAGGAGGGGCTGGAGAGATGGCTCAGTGGTTAAGAGCACTGACTGCTCTTCCAGAGGACCCGGGTTCAATTCCCAGCACCCACATGGCAGCTCACAACTAACTGTTTGAAGATCAGTTCCAGGGGAGACACCTTCACACCAATGCACATAAAATAAAGTTAAATAAACCATAAAAAAAAAAAAAAAAGAATCCCAGGAGCTCACAACTACCCAGGCTAGACAAAATGTTGAGTTCCAGGGTCAGTGTCTCTAAATAAATAAATCTGTCTCTAAATAAATAAATAAATAAATAAATAAGGTGGGGAAGCAGTAAAGGACATCTTGATGTTGACCCCTTGTCTCTACACACACACACATAGACACGCATGCACACACACACACGTAAAATAGCTTTCTTAGGGCACTTCGGTGTAGGCTTTTTAGCTTAGCTCTGTTCTTAGCCCCTTTCTCCATCATTAAGGAATGGTAGGTTAATTAAGCAGAACATAGGTGGCAAGGAAATTAATTGAAAACCAATAGAAAATAAATTTGAAACGCAAATTTCCCAGAACTTATTTTTGCTTTCAACAGATTTCAAATAAGTTAAAGTTGGGGAAGGAAAAAAATACTCATATTTAATATATATTGGCAAGCACAGCACAACTATGAAGTAAAATCGTCAGGGGAATTCTTTGCCTGCCCTGGTGCTGAGATTTAAAGCCCCTCCATAGCAGACACTGAAGAGGAATTCAATTAAGAAAGCTCGTTGGTTCCATATTGACTTTAGTTAAGAAAATAAACTGGGGGAAAGTGTATAAAAATGTTGCCAGACTGCTTGTCCCACTTCCACCTTAGCTTATGGCTGGCAAAACAGGAGAGTTTAAATTCCTTACAGCTAACTCGGCTCCAGGGTAAGCTGGTTTTTCTACGTTGTACCCATGGCATTTCTAATGTCCACCCTGGTCTCACATAGCCACACACTGCCTTACTACGACTCTGTGTCATGATGCAAGAACAGCAGAGATCAATTGGTAAGAAAAGTGAGGTAGTGAATTTAATTTTGTCCTAGGATTTTCATTTTCATTTATGGCACCCGTTGTGTTTGAGACCATGGACTAATTTATGGATTAGTTTTAAGCCCCCAGTCTGTCACACTCAATGAACAATTCTAAGTTGGAGAGAATCCATCTGAAAGGATTAGAACAGGCCACAGTGGGGCTTACACATGACTGTTTCCACTAAATATTGCCCAGCTGCCTCTCAGGCAGGTTGTAGGGCTTTTTGGTTTTTGTTTGATTCCCCCACACACACACACACACCCTGCTTCTTGGCTACTTGGTTAAATGGCTACTGTCTCTAATCGCACACATTTTCGTAGTTTTTTCGTTTTGCAAATATCTTGTACTTCAACGTGGAATGTGTGTTTGTTTTGCTGATTTGAGGCAGGGCCCCATTAGCAGTTTGCAGGACTGTAATCCTAAGAAGGGACGTCCGTGTTGTGAAATGAGTGCCTTCCAAGTCAGTGTAGGCCCTAGCTCACCTCCTTTTGATTGTAGACTCATAAAACCTTGAGTACATGCCAAGTGAGACTGTATACATTCAGCATTTGTGAGAACAGGGATTGACTTGGTTTTATTTGTTTGTTTCAGTTATTTTAAACATATAAATAATATACAATCCATTTGCCCTCACTATAATGGTTTAACTTTTTTATATATTAGAGCCAATGTCTCCCATTCTACTTTTTGTAACCAATTTTTTCATAGGCCTAGCTCAAAGGTTTTTTTTAAGACAACACATGAGGTTTAAAGAGATTTGTGAGGGCAATCAGACACTAATCAAGCCCTATTTTGCAATTATAACTTACACTGACATGTTTGCATTTGCCCACAAAACTAAAATATTACAAAATGCTCCAATGACCACCCCAGAAGCTGATTCTGGGGGGGGGGGACTTGCACTTTTCTCCATTTTCTGAAGATACCCTAATAAATCATGCTTCACATCTCCGTACTCACCCCAGAGCCAAGCTGTCTATGGTTTCTGCATGGTATCATAATGCAATTATGAAGGAGAATTAGATCCTGTCCTAGTGCTGCCAGCCCCCCATGGGGAGCACACAGTCACGTCTAAAGCATTTTCTCTTCTCTCTAACTTGAAATAGCCCCTGCTCAGGTCGCACACCAGATGCTCTGTGAGAAACAGAGTCAATAGCTCCCCAGACACACTCTTAATCCCGATTTAAGCCCCATACCCACCTGTGTTCCGGCCGCAGCGTCCCATCCATTGCTGCTCGTAGGTTTGCCATTTCCAACTGCAGTAATCATGTTGTTTGACTTGAATATGTGTTTGCTTAACTGTTTTAGAGTGTTTTTCCTTAATAGCCCTTTTCTCTTCTGTTGGGTTCAATTGATGGATTTCGCATCCCTAGAGTTGGGAGCAAAATGCACTGTGGTCATGGCTGCATTTATTGTCTGCTGCCCGTGTAAGAGCTGACGCCTGGCTTCATCTGGTTAATTTTGTCATGAAGCTGACATAATGTTATAATACAGGAAGACAGTAAATTGGGATTGTTGGTCAATGCTCAGATCTGATTTTTGAGTCTTCTAACTCTAATGTTTTAATCCACTCCCTTTTTTCATTTTATGTTAATGGTTTACTTGGTTTAAAAAAAAAAGGTATGTTAAAAAGAGGTACCACAAAAATAATGAGCCAAAACATTTTTTGCTTTTTTTCTTCTGTTTTGGAAAGGAGCCAATGCCTGCCCATAAAATGTATTACATGCATATGAATGTTTATACAAATGTGCCTTTGATTCTGCCCCTCAAATTTAAAGTGCCTCAAACCAGTGTTGGACTCAAATGTCTCAACTATGGAGATGCACCTGTCATCTTTAAGGATCTGGTGTGGGTTTGTTTCAACTGTACAATTTCCTGTCTTGTTTCACTGCTGTTTTAGGCCCACAGAGTTGACTTATAAGTAAGTATTATATTCTTCTGCAGTGTATTTATGGTTTTCTCTCCTTCCTCTGTCCTAGAGAAATTTAGTGATCAGTTATATCAAGATGCATTGGCCTCTAAGACCTCTGGTTAATTCTGGCTCCTTAGAAGGGCTTTGATTTTTTTTATGATAATAAGGCCCCTATTTTCTCAGAAAGCATGCCAACTGAAGGGGAACGCCGGTGTGAATTCATGTGTCATATTTATACATCAGAAGCTCCAGGCTCATTTGATTCCCCCTCTTAAAAAAAAAAAGTTCTATACTTAATGTTCCAGTGCATTTAAACATTGCCTGTGTCAAGTTCAAATCATTGAAAACAATTGCCAGCTAAAGGCCCCTATCATAAAAATGGCAGGGGATTGCTTGTGACTTTTAACCTCGGGATCCTGCTTCAACCAGCAGCAGCTTCTGACTAGGAAGGGGCTGCTATAAGAAACACACTTGAAAACTGCAGAACTGAGAAAGTGGGGCCTAGTGCATTGACATCAGAGTGAAGTTGGCTGTTTTTAAGAGGACTGGGAAAGAAGGCCATCATGCACTTCATTAGCTAGACGCCCCACTTCTGTAGCCAAAAGTAAAGAGCAGATTCCCTCCTTGAGTGCTTTGGAGGCATTTTACTGTGAAGAGAAGCTGATAGGAACCAACTTGAACAGCATCAGAAGTAGAAGAGACAGGTCACAGGTGGGAGAGCACCAATGAAGACGATAGCTCTGTCTCCCGACCCAGTCAGGACCGCAGAAACCTGGCAGCCAAACCTGGCTGAACACAGCCATATAGCTGGATTCTTGAAACTTGAAAATTCCCAAGTGGTGTTTGTCCAATTGTGTGAACACATGTGTTTTTGTGACAAACCTTGTAGATTATAACATATCTTATAGAATGAAGAATCCGGGCTCTGTATGTGTGTGTATGTATGTGTGCACACGTGTGTCTTGAACATGTTCACTCCCATGAATTGAACTTACCCAACTAACTTCTGATGAAATAATTCAGTGGATGGAGAACTCGAATCTCTATATTGCATATTCATCTGTGAGCATCTGGGCTTCAGCTGGAAGTGTCCTAACAGTGGAGTTGATTCCAGAAGCCCCAGCGCCCGGGTGGGTTGGGTTGAAACAAAGGCAATGTTTGAATGTCTGAATCCATTGTTTAACCAGCCTTCCAACTGAGCTTTTCTGTCGCAGTCCTGAGCTTCGATGCTTTAAGAACCATCTAGCGGCCACTGAGTTTGCACTGGTGTTTCTCATCACTTTGCATGTCCCCCTGACTATTGACTGGCAAATACATGTGTCCTGGCAAGACCCCCGGAACAAAAGAATTTACTGTTTTCCTCCCTGGCTCGCAGCTTTGAGCTCAAGGCATGTCTTAAAACAGTGCGCTCACTACAGATGCTCCTTGCTTTTCATTTATTATTGCTTGTCACGCGGTGTTCTTTGAAAGCTTGCTCATATATTATCTGTTCCATTTTTTTCCATTCTCCCCTTTTTTGCATGCTGTTCCTCCTGTTTCTTCCCTTCCTCCAATCCTCTGTTCCCGTCTGTAGACACCACGGCGACGACAGAACCAGCAGTTCACGGTTGGTATCACATTCCTGTTTATCTACTTTCTCAGCGCTGCTGAGAGGCAAGGCAAGCCTGGGAAAAAGAGAAATGCAGTCTTCAAGGGAACTCACGCTCCAAATAGACTGATCTCAGAAATGCACCGTGATTTTTTAATGCTTGACATTACACCAAGTCTTGTCATTTTTGTTGTGAGTTCAGTGGCCAGTGGTTGCAGTGTGAGATTGAGGCCTCCCCTCGGGTGGCAAGCATGTTAGGGTGTCCATCACACAATCCTCCTTACTTAGAAAACTGTACCAAACCTTGGAGTACATGAGACTTCAAAAAGTATTTTTAATTAAATGGAAGAAAAGTATTTGTCTACAGAGCTGGCATCTAAAATAGAGGCCATGTTCCTTACCCACCAGCCTCCCCAGTCTCTCTATTCATTTAAGGTTATGTTTCCATTGGGTGGGAAACAACTCCCCAAGAATGTTCCATTTGAACAGCATGAAGTGGGGTTTTAATGCAGTCTTTGGTGTGTGGTACTTTGCAAGTCTAATAATAAAAGGTAGGTAGGTTACGTTTTTTTGTTTGTTTTTAACCGAAAGGTGAAAAAAAAGAGTGCATAATCTTCAGACAGGGACTTCAGGACACCCTGTCTCCTTCCCCTGTCACCGGGGAACTACCAATGGGGACACTTTTTTCCTTGCTTCCTTCCTTCCTTCCTTTCCTTCCTTCTTTCTTTCTTTTTTTCTTCCTTCCTTCCTTCCTTCCTTCCTTTTTTTTCAATCAGAAAGTGAGAGTCCTGTTTAATCTGTATATTATTTTATTACTCATCTCAAATTTAACCTTGGCAAGATTGTGCTTAGAGTAGATATGTTAGTTTAAAGGGGGCTGCGTTTTAATAACTGAATCCAAGAGAATCATTTGGAAAGGGCCTGCTTCAGTCACTTTAAATGCTATGCAGGGTGAAAATCTATCACCTAAGTGACAAGAGGTGATCAGTCAGCTATACTGTTCATTCAGCTTAAAGAATGGCATCTAGCCCACACTGACTTCCTCAGACAACTGTGTCTGAGGACTTAAAAGTTGGACATCTCTGAGTAAAAGCTGTGCTGGTTGTTGCTGGAGAACTTGCCTTACTCAGGGTCAGCTCAGCAGAGCTCTCACTCCCTGTCTGTCTGTCTGTCTGTCTGTCTCTCTCTCTCTCTCTCTCACGCACACACACACACACACACACACACACACACACACACACCACAACCTGGAAATGATAGGGCTCTTCAGCATACTCCCCACTTCATTCTGTCCTAATCTTCACGCAGTAAGTTAAAGGGATGAGAAGTCCAGTCAGGTATAAATTATGTGTGTTCTAAGGTGAGCCACAGGGCTGGCTACATCTCAGACTCTGCACTCCACTGAACTTAGTGTCGAATACCTCCTGACATTTATTGATAGCCTCGGAGCTTTACGGTGATATTAATGTAGTTCAAGAGATTTTGTTTTATTCTTTTTTGAGTACTCTAAGTTTTGGGACTTCCTATAATTAACTCCAGGGTCAAGTACAGCCTGGGTTCCCAAATTCTCTGACCTCTTTGAAGAAATAGTGACCATTTATCCCTAAAATCCCAAAGTTTCATGCTTTCAATACCTCAGTTAGATCCAAGGACTTGTACTTGCGGAACTCATCCTTAAAGATTTTGACAGGGTATGCAAACTAGGAAACTTGTCCTGGCCTAAAGATGGAGACAGCACCTAGAAGTCGATTCTGATTTGGGGCTACTTATTTTAATTAGGTCTGTCTCTTTAAACAGATTGGAAAGGGAAAGGAGTCTCTGGGCACTTAGCTTGGGATCAATTAGCATACAGGTTTCTCTGCTCCAGGAAAAGTAGCCACTGTCTTTATTTGGAGACAATATCACCCCAGAGCCATAGGGTGAGACTCGGTGTGAGAAGCTCGTGGGAGAAAGTAGCAAGCACAGCCTTCTTGTACCCTGTGTCTCTTGTGCCTCCAACTGGACTCCTTAGCAGCAAAAAGCCAGAGAAATGGTGGCTAAGCCCAGCTCATCTCTGCATAGTGTGTTTATAAATTTGTTCTTCAGCTTGTCTCTGATCCTCATAGTCACTTCTCAAAGGGTCCCCCACTATTTTGGCCAGCTAACTCTCAAGCCCACAGCCAAAAGCACTAATGTAAACCAAAGTAATATCTGAAATTTTACGTGATGAAAAGGGAAGAAATTTTCTAAGTCACTTGTAAAGGGCAACAGGATATGGTGGAAACTGCAGACCAAGGAAGCAGATTAACAAGGATGTGATATTGTAGAATTGATCTTATCATAGTACTAGAGAACTAGCTAGTCAGTGCAGCAACCATATGACTGGCATTTACTTGATGATGACTTTGAGACAGTTCTTAATGGTGTTGTGGTCCCAGAAAAAAAAATATTAAATGGCTTGATAACTTAGCAACTGAAATGACAAGACATACTAAGTCAGCCAGCTGTGGCCATCTTGTTGTTCTCAAAAGTTATTCTGGACTTACCATATGGCTATTTTTCTTTCATTTACAAAAACAAAACAAAACAAAAAACCTTTTCAGGATTTCCCTATGAAGACTCATTACAATTCTTTATTCAAGCTTGTGTTGCTAGAGTATGTATGAAGTTTACTCTAGTTGTTCCTATATGTTGATTGTTTGTTCTTACCAATAACTGATTGGAATAGCATGTATTGGAAGGTTGGAAGTGCATGGGCATGATTCAAAACCAAATGGATTTTCTCCAAAAGGAAACCAAGTAACAATTCACCACCATATTAAAGGATCTCACTGAGAGTGAACATAAATGTGACCATAAGAATGAGAATTTTTTATTTTTTTAGGCAAGGCTGTCACAAGGGGTCTCTGAATAAGGATTTTGAGCATTTGTGGTTTTGGAGTTCATCCTTAAAGGCCTGCACAGGGAAAAATTAAAACAAAAACAAACAAACAAAACCTGTGTTGTGTGTGCATGTTGAACAATTCAAAAAAAAGAAAGAAACAAGAAAAACCACTGCCAAATCCTGATAGCTCGTGGTCAGAAGCTGCTGGCAGACATGCATGGGTGGTTAGCGCACGGGTGGTGTCGTCGTTATCCTGATTATTTGGCGTGTGGGTGCGTGTGTGGTTTTTGTCTGTCTGTTTCAGTGTGGGCACTTCTTTTTAAATGTCTTGTGCTTTGTTCTTTTCTGTCCTGTGTGTTCCCTCTCCCTTTCCCTCCCCACCCCCTGGCCCCCGTGAGGGGTCAGGTGACAGCATGCCCATGGTCTGGAATAGCGCTTGTGCTTCTGCTGCACTGCAATCAGCTGGCTTCTGGGTTGGGGCGCTCTCTCTCTCTCTCCCTCCCTCCCTCCCTCCCCCTTCCCCTCTCTTTCCCTCCCTCCCCTATCCCGTTCTCCCCACGCTTTCTAACTCAGCCTGCCTCTTCTACCTGTTGAAACAGTGGAGGTTGAAACAGTGGAACATGGATCTTCATATTCCACATGAGTCTTTAAATAGATTAATTCATTCTGAAATGGAGAACTCCTCTGAAATATTTTTTTTCTTTTTTGTTTGGTTTCAAAGTATTTGGCCAGTGCTAGAGATCAAGCCCACACCCCAGACCACTGCCTGTCTTAGGTAACTCCCTCTCCCTGGTTTATGACTAGTGCAGACCGTGACAGAATTCTGAAAACATTGTGTTATGTCCTTATCTTACATGGGATTCAGTTGTGGGGAAATTCTTAAGCCCATTTGAAAGAAGACTAGCCAGCAGTGCACGTGATTACAACCGCTATGTCCACCGTCTGTGTATGTACCTCTGTACATCTCTGTATGAGTACATAACAATAGCATTCAAGGGCTGTCATTCAGTCAAGGGACTCTGCAGACATTGTATGTTCTACCCAAGAACAAAGCTAAAGAGGTTTACGAATGGCTGCAGGACCTGAAGATTGCGTTGCAGCCTTGATATGCAGCTTGGAAACAATGTGCTGCTGTTTAACGGCGTGAACCAAATTTCTGCTAATGGGAAGAAGGGAAAAACTCTCCACAAAAGCTGACAAAGCAGGAAGAACAGGATGACTGAGCTTTTAGATATAAACTACCGGGGGCGTCTGAACTCTTATGGCTGGTGGTGGAAGTATCAGTTTCCATGACATGGCCAAGTGATCAGATGTGTGCTGCGTAGGTAAGAGAGAGACCGTCGCCTACTCTTTTTCCTAATGAGAATGGTGCTAAGGCCAGTGGGCCGAGGTTTTCTTTCCTAGGGATTTTATCTAATTGTTCTTTTCTATAATTTTCTGTAATAAATATCTCTCTATATATATATGATAACTTGATGAATCAAATCCAGGAGCTTCTTTAGGATTACTTGATTTTTGCATTTATTGAAATGGCTAGGATTTCTAACTGATTCTAATTCTTTGAGCTTTTTCTTCTGGTTTAAAATTGCCACATTATAACCACTTTGAGAAGCCAGCAGGTGCTGTCAAGAAGGAGAAACAGCGACTCCAGAAGCGCACAGTGCTTAGCCTGAACCACAGCACCTGTAACACCAGAAAAAGCCAAACATGAATCTGTGCAGGAGAGACAGCCTTCATGCATAAATTAAATTCTCATGTCTGCACCATAGGACTTCCTTAATTGCAAAACAAAAACAAATGCAACAAAAGTAAACTTTCATTTGTTTAACAGAGTTCAAAGAAATGCATTGCATGCATTTTAATTAGACGTGACTAGAAAGAGCTTGACTAGATGATAGGAAACTGAAAAGAAGAACAAGAAGTGATCTCCCACTTATTCTTACATCACAGTGTTTCCTTTTGAGAAATATTCCCTGCTTCATACAGTGCATCTTCGTCATTTTCTTTGAGAAAACGAAAGGAGTCTAATTTTTAACATGAAAGAAAAATACCTACACCAAAGCAATTCTAGGAGGTAGATTTTGTGTTTCCTTGCTTGTACACCCAGTACTATGGTAAACTCTTCTAATTATATTTATTCAGAAATTATCCAACT